CGCCGGCGGCGGGTGGGGTGGGCAATGGGGGGGGGGGGGGGGGGGGGGGGGGGGTCAGGGGAGGAACTGGGATCGTTTGGGGGGAAATGATAGATGGGACCCGAGACAGGGGCTGATAGGGGGGCACGCTTGTGGGATGGGGGGGGGGGTGTGCCGCACGTTTGCAAGGTACTATAGCGTACACGTGCGTCACCAAAGAAGCACACAACTGCACTGCGACGGCATGGGAGGCTTCCAGCTCGCTCCCTCAGCGACCCTTGAGCCCATGGCCAGTGCCCTGCGGCACCCGGCGCATATCACGCGTGTGACCTCCCATGGCTGATGCACGTAACCCCCCCACCTGACGCAGAAGAAGCGGAGCCAGAGGTCCTCGATGCGCTGCAGGCCCAGGGCTTCCCTCACGACCCGGTCAAACCCCGCGCCATTAAACACTGGGAGGGCAGTGAGGATGGGCTGTTGCTTGAAGACTCCGCTCTTGGTTGAGCCACGCCGCCGGCCCCAGGCTTTTCCACAGCGTTTGACCCCGCCAAGATCCAGATGTCCCCCCTTACATCATGCTGTGACCCAACACAGCCCCCAGGCCACCACCCCACAACATCGCACACACCGGAAATGATGGGCAGGGTGAGGTCCATGAGCAGCTTCCGCACGGATCCCATTTCTGTGGCATATCGCCGCACTGCATCCTCCATAGCCGAGCGGCGCAGGTTCTGCGCGTACAGCCCGCCCATGAAGGCGCCCTGTGCGTGGGAAGGGGATGGGAGCATGGATCGGAGGGTTGGTAGGGGACGAATGAGGGAGGCTAGAAGACCCCAGGGCACCCTCGAACCATGTCCTGGCTGAGCACCATCGCACACTGGCTCTCAAGGCTGCTGCTGTGACTCGACTGGCCCCTGTCAAACCGATGCTGGCTCCCACTCCCTCCCTCGCCACCGCACAATACGCCTTTGCATCACAGTCCCACGCCCTCCACCGCACCTGGGAGGTCCCACCCACAACGTCGATGGGCACCCCCGCATCTGCCAGGGCGTTGAGCACCCCCTGGTGCGCCAGGCCCCGGCTCCCGCCGCCGCTCAGCACCACGCCCACCGCGCGGTCTGCAGGCGGGCGCGTGGTGGGAAGGGAGAGACGCTGAGGTTTGCAGTGCAGCCAGGCGCACCCATGGAATGTGTGCGGTTACTCAGCAAGCCAGACACGCACCAGTGTGCCTGAGGTTGTCCAGGACGCAGGCAACCAAGGAAAAGACACTCGGCACGGCCAACCCTCACCACGCTCACCGGCCATCCAGCGCGACAGGCGGGCCATGTCTGGCTCAAACCCAAGCCGGATGTGGTGGTGGCGGGTGAGCAGGGGACGGGCGTCCAGCCAGGCCGCGGTGCCGGATGGTACGCCGTCCATGGCGTGCACCAGCACCAGCTCCACGCGCCTGTTTCGATGGACAAGGGGCGTAGGATCCAGGCTCGGCCCGCGTTACTGCACTTGAGCCAGCGTGCATTGGTCTTCCCATCAAGCGAACACATCCGGCCAACCGCAACTACCGTCACTCAGCCTCACATGAGGGCGGAGAGACTCAGGCTGGCCGCGCCGGCGGTGCCACTGGGTGATCCGCCGCCCTGCGCCGCCCCCTCGCCCAGCAGTGAGTTCAGGCCCTCCTGGCCCAGCAGCTTCCAGGCAGCATCCGCCAGCAGGTCCGGCAGCGTGCTGGAGCGGGTGACCAGCGACGCGGCGCGCGAGATGCTCTGCCACACCAGCGCCTGCTCCTGGGTGCTCACCTGATGGGGTGAGAAGATTTTTGTGGGGGGGACCTGGGGTAAGACTTTGGCGAACTTTCAGATGGTGCCAGAGCAGGTGTTGGTAGGTGTGCATACACCTCTACTGCCTATGCTTCAAAGCAAAACCAGCCTCCGTCTCATCAGTGGAGAGGAGTTGGCCCAGGGTGTCTCAAGCCTCCCTGTCACCACTCCCTCAGACACCTGCGGCGCGGTGCACGCTGGGTCGGCCACCAGTAGGGTGCAATCCGCCTGGCTTGCGCAGATGCGCGACCATGGCGAGTCGCGGCCGTCGCCCACAAGGATGATGAACCTGGGGATCCAGGGAAGTGGGGGAGTGTGAGTTCGTGCTCCTGTGCATAGCGCCCCAGAGCTTTCCTGTGTCTTGCAGCAAGCGTTCTTTTCTCTGTTTCTGCAGCCATCTGAACTTGAGCCACAGACGTGTTTTGGAGTTTAGTTCCCCAAAGATCCTTGCTTGAGCACTATTATGTAAGGTTCTGCTGGGCCCTCCACTGCCCAATCAGACTCACTCAACAGGCCACCCAGGTGCCAGCGAGGGCCCACTCCTTCCCAACCCTGCTTCCCCCACCCTACCGCTCGGCTCACCTAAACTCTTCTTCCTGCGCTGCCATCCAGGAGCAGACCTTGGACCTGTGGAAGCTGGACTTCAGGCGCGCGTGGGTGGTGGGGAAGGCGGCCGCGATGCTGGCGGCATCCAGGAGCAGAGTGGGACCCCACATCAGCTCCAGCGTCCCCCGCAGCTCCGTCGCCAGCCTCGTCACGGGGTCCATCGCAGAAGCTCCACCGCTCACACGCCCTGGGGAGTTGGGAGGGAGGGGCGGATGGGGCTGACAGCTCTGGAAGTGTGGCGGACTGCCTACAGAAGAATCCTGACACAAGCTTCCTGGGGTCATTGGGGATCTTCACCACAGCCCCAACGACCGAGGGCTCCTTCAGGACTCATGATATACATCCCTGGTCCAACCTGACACCAGTCCCTCACCACGCACCCCTTCACCTACCAAGCAGAACCTTGATGGCCCCCACCCTGTCGACCCACCTGCGGGGAGCACGGCGATGGTCACGATCTCGCCCCGGCGCCGGTTGCCGCCCTTCTTCCACACCGCCGTCTCCCCCAGCGACGTCCTGGGACAGGGGAGTTGTGCGCGAGGTGGTGAGAAGTTGGATGCTGAGGGATATGGTGCACGTGATTGGACCCATCCAGAGCGCCGCTGCCTTGGCAAAGATGACCGGCCCCGTACGAGTCACCGACGTGCAGGTGCCTGGAGGCTTGGATGTGCCAGCTCTCAGAGCACCGCTGCTATGTGCGCGAGCCGGGTCGACCTTCCTGTCACTTAGACCCTGGGCATCGCTCCCCGCACCAATCAGACGTCTCAGAACGCCAGCCCAGGAACCGCACCCCCCCGTGTCCCCACCTCCCACCCCCCCCCCCACCCCCAGCAAACTCACGCGTCGAGCGTCTCGCGCTGGACCCCCGCCACCCCGCCCCGCCCGCGGTTGCTCTGGGAGGCGGCCAGGCGCTCGGCCATGCCCTGCAGCACGCGCGCCGCGGCGCGCGGGTGCAGCGCGCAGAGCAGCTCGAAGGAGCCGCGCGTCAGGCGGCACAGCTCCGCGTCGCGGATGCAGATGGCGGAGGTATCGTGGCGCCCGCCCGCCAGCGCCCAGACCGCGCCCATGGACTCGCCGCGGCCGACGTCGTCCTCCACGCCCACCTCGCGCCCGCGCGAGGCGCGGTGCAGCAGGCGCGCGCGCCCCGAGATCACCACGTACATGCACTCCGCCACGTCGCCCTGGCGGTACACCACGTCCCCTGCGTGCAGCCACACGCGGTTCAGCCCCAGGGAGGTGAACTGGCGCACCACGGGCCCCAGCGCGCGCGCCGCGCCCAGCAGCAGGTCGATGTACACCGCCGACTTGAGCGTGCTCGACAGAGGGGCGGGGGCGTCAGTGGGGGGTGGGGGCTCGCGCGCCTCGGGGGAGCCCACCCCAGGTCCCCGCCGCTCCGGCCGGCAGTCCTGACCGGCGTCCGCCTCGCCGCCGGTCGGATTGTCGTCGGCTGGGGCGGGGGGCGCGGCGCCCCTACCCTCCAGGGCCTCGCGTAGGAGGCCCGAGGCGTTGCGGCGGGACTGGGCGGCCGGGGCCGCGGCGGGCTCGTCGACCGCGTCGGGGCGGCTGGCCGCCGCGCCCGGCCGCAGGGGGCTGGCGGGCACGGCGGGCCTCGCTTTCGGGCCCTCGGCCACGTCGGTGCCCGGCATCCCGGCCGCGCCCGCCGTCCCTGCCAGGGCGCTGCCGGCCCGCTCCAGGGGGGGCCAGGTTGCTGGTGTGGGACTGGCGCGCTAGGCTGCGCGCGCCGCGGGACCGGAGGAGGGCCGCGGCCGGGTCGACGCCGCAGGGGCCGTCGACCGGCGACTGGCCGGAGGGCGAGGCGCCGAAGCAGGGGCTCCACACCCCTGACGGCTGGGGGCTGGCCAGGTTGGCCAGGGAATCTGTCGGTGGTGTGGGGGAAGGGGGGGGGGGCACGTGATGTGCAGTGTGCAATCAAGGAAAGACAGTTCCCGGTGAACGTGGGATGTGCGCGCGTGCATGCCTGGGCGGCGTCGAAGTGCGCCCTGGAGCCCAGGCAGTGCACCCAGGGCATCCACCGAGCCTCAGACCCTGTGCGTGCAGTGAAGCAGCCTGTCACCAGTCCCCTCCACCAGACCACTCCCTCGCCCACCCGAATCGTCATACAGCAGACTGTTCAGCTCCCGGGCACCGAATCCCGCGAGCAGGCAGGGCTCCCCGCCGGCCGCAAACTCGCACTTGGTGCGAGTGGAGGAGAGGAAGGCGGCGCAGCTGACCAGGCTGCCGGGCAGCACCGAGGCGGTCCTGGGCTCCTGTCCCTCCCTGACCCGAGTGGCCACCAGCGTGCCCTGAGGGGAAAGGACGGCGGGGGTTGCTGGTGTGATGCGTGCATGAAAATTGTCCTGACTGTGGGTCGAGGCGCGCAAGAGCCGGGCCGCCCCGCGGGCGTCCAGCCAGACGGATGTTTCAAGGCAAGAGCCCTTTCCCAGCATCAGGTGTCCTGAGTCGTCCCCAGTCCTGTGAGATGCTCCAAGAGAGTCTAACCCTTCGTGCAGTCTTCACGAGGGTCACCCTACATCGCCTCACCTCCAGCACGACGTAGAAAGCGTGCACGAGCGCGTCCTGGTCGTGCAACTGCTCCATGGGAGCCACCACCCGGCGCCTGCCCAGCCCAGCCGCCAGCTGCTCCCAGCTCGCCTCGCGGATGCCCGTCTCCTGCGCAGAGTGTATGGTTTGGTGGGGAGGTCGGAGCGGGATAACAGGGCGAGCGCAGGGGGGAACCCGGGGCGGCAGGCAGGGCAATTCATGATGCAGGAAATCCGGCACTGCACCCTATCTTTCCCAGTCCAAGCGAAACCCAACGATGAGCACACAGAGCGCAAGCCTCACACCACATTCCCAGATATTCACCCCTCCACCCCCCCCTTCAAAATCGCGCACATGCGGCGCCACGACGTCCCAGCCCTCTTTCAGGCACGCCGTGTCCTCCGGCAGCGCGGCGGCGGCGGCGGCGGCACGGGCCAGCCCCGCCGTGGCCCCCGCCATGGCCTCCCGGAAGGGGCTGGCCTGCTCGCTGTGGAAGCTGACGCGCCGCCGCCCCATGGTCACCACCCTGCGCGAGGTCGGGCACTCCACCGCGGCGGTCCCCGGCGGCGCAGCGGCCCCCTTGTCCTTGAGGATGCCCTGGCGGCGAGGCGCGGCGGCGGGGGACCCCGGCGCCGAGGACCCGTCCTCCGCGCCGCTGGCGGTGGCCGACCCCGGGCTGGAGGGCGCTGAGGCCCCCGACCCGCCTTCCTCCGCCGCCTGGCCGGTGCGCAGGGGCGGTAGGCCGGGGAGCACGCCGTCCATCTCCAGGCCCTTGAAGTCTTCCAGGGGCAGCTGCAGGAAGTCGGAGAGCACGAAGTGGGACACGCGCCACAGTCGTGCCATGGCCTTGGGTAGGGTGTGTTTGTGGGGAGGGAGAGTTTGGTTTTTGTGTTTCCTTCAAGTGGGGGAGAAGATGGTGGTACTAAAGAGAAATGGAGGGCAGGGCAGGGTGCATGACACTTAGGGTCGCAGCCCGAGGAGCCGGGGCAGGGAGGGTAGGTCCACGGCTGGGTCAACGGTGAGGTTGCATGCCCGTTGCTGGCAGGGCTGGGCATGGACCTGATCAGCGCGCTCAGCCCTGCCCCTCCGCCAGCCCCAACTGCCCTGCTCCCAAACAACAACCCCGCACCTTCTGCAGGTACACCAGCAGGGTGGCGGGACGCGCCAGGATGAAGTTCAAGAATAGGTCGCGCGGCACCTGCACCAGCGTGCACCCCTCGGCCAGCGCAGCGGCCGAGGCGGCGCGCGGCGCGCCGTCCAGCACGTCCAGGTCGCCCACGCTCTCGCCGTAGACCAGGACGTTGACCAGCAGGCGGTCCGTGGAGGGGTCGGCGCCGCCGCCGCGCGGCTCGGGTGCGGGTAGGTAGGTGCCCAGCCGCCCCTCCACCACGATGAAGATGCCGGACTCGCTGGGGTCGCCGGCGTTGAAGAGGGGCTCGTGGGGGCCCAGGGTCACGCGCCCCGTGCCCGCGTACAGGCCCCGCACGTCCTCCGCCTCCAGGCAGGAGAAGAACTTGGTGCTCTCGAAGAAGTTGGGCAGGTCGTCGATGACCCCGCTGCGGGGGGGGGGGGCGCGGGAGGAGGGGGGGGTGTTGGCTTGTGGCCTTGGGGTGCAAAGGGGCCAAAGAGATGTAACAAGAGGACAAAGAGGGTTTAGCTGAGGGTTGAGGTCTTGGTGGATGCGTCCCAAACAGGTCCTTCCATCATGCCCAAAGTGGCCGCATCCTGACGCCTGGCACAGGCTCACCACCCACCCGCCCACCTGCCGGAGTCGGAGGAGTCGGGGCCGGCCAGGGGGGAGGTGGGGCTGTGCTCCTCGCCGTGGGGGGAGGCACCCCCGGATTTGAGGCCAGAGCGTGCGTAGCGTGCGGCGTAGCGGGCAAACGGCGTGCGCAGGGCGTGCGGGTGGCCGTCGTCCAGATCTTCTGGGCACCGGGTGAGGGTTTTACGTCCGGTGCATGTGTGTGGGCTGGCAGGGAGCCTTGCTGTTGATGCATGCAGGCCCGGCCCGCTGTCACAGGATGTCGAACGCCCCCTGACCCCCCTCACCTTCCAGGGTGAACAGTTTCATGCCGCCACGGTCCTCGATATAGGCTGCCACCGCGGCAGTGATCCCCCTGCAGGGTGGTGTGGGCACAGGGGTTGCCAGCCTTCCTGCCTCCTCCCTCACACGCCCATTGCCTGCAGGCAAGGATCCCAAAGCAAGACCCACCTCCGGATGGCCTTCAGGACCCGGGTGACGCCCCGGTTGTAGCACTGCACACATACACCCAGGGCTGCCGCATAGGCTATGACCTGCAGCCTGCGCCTCCAGTCCAGGGATCTGTCCCGGGAGGCGCTAGCCTGGAAGATGGGGTAGTCGGAGTCCATGATGAATCAGACGCGGTACCGGGAATACATGCCGACAGGAATCCTGAAGCCTCGCGATGGGTGATAAGATGCAGAAAATGCGAGGTAAAGGAGATCGTGATGACCGGAGTACGGTCCAGACCAGGCGAAACCCCGCGGCGCGCTCTCAGAAGCCGGCCTGGGTTAAGTTGCTTCCGTGGGGGAGGGTGCACGGGACTACTTCACCGCCACGGCAATCACGATTTTTCTTTGAACTTCTCTGACAAGCGAGTCTGATTCAATTATGTACATCACATTCACACTGAAATTTTAGTCTGTGATCCTTCTTTGCACTGCAATGCGCATGCTGCCCTCAGTCATCCTCCGAGTGTTCCAGCACGCTCCAGTTGCACCACCCTCCTGCATGGTATCACATGGATCCAGCATAGAGTGGACCTCCCCGATGATGATGAAAAGTCGGCGACACGCAAGACGTTCATGGCTGGGGGCATGCCTGCACACGACATGCCAGAGTGCAGATTGGAAGACACCAGCTGCACCAAAGTAGGGCAGGGAAGCTAGTACCCCTGTGGCACACAATATTGCCCCAATTGCTCTACACGCCGGCCTGGAATGCACCTTTAACTTTCACTTTCGCAGGGCAACAGCCAAGGAAGCCGCACTGCGCCTCCTGAATCTTCGCCGATACCCGGCCAAGAAGCTCACCGAGAAGTTGCTGGAGAAGGGCCATCCCCCGGACAGCATCGAGCAGGCGCTGCATGATCTGGAGAAAGTGGTGGGATGAGGTGCCAGCCTGCATGCAGACTTGATGTCCAAGGGGAGTGCAGAGTGGGCACTCTTGTCGTTGTGCCTGCAGACACTCCCACAAGCTGCTGCTCCCAATGCTACCCTCATTCCCTTAGGGTCTGACAGGAGATGCAGAGTACGCGGAGGTCTATGTGCGTAGTAAGTGGCGGCAACAGCTCTGGTCTCCCAGGAAGCTGCAGTATGTGAGCTGCAGTGGATGGGGGGAGAGTGATTAGTTGGCTCGCCGGGGCAGGAAGTACCTGCTGCATGCTTATACTTCTGCACTGCATCTGCCTGGCCAATGGGCAGGGCATCATGTTTTTAGACTGAGCAGCCCTTCCTCGATCATCCTGCCCAGGAGATGAAACATCTGGGCATCGACCAGGATCACCAGAAGGCAGCGCTCAGTGCCCATTTTGGAGAGCAGGGGCTTCAGCTGCGGCACTTTCTCGAGCTGTGGCGTTACGAGGGACTGGGCGCCCAGTCAGACGTGGACGGTGATGGCGCCCGGGAGGCAGAAGCTTTTAGAAAGTGTCAAGCACGTCTGGAGCTCGTGAGAGGTAGGTCATCCGCTGCAGATATTGCCAAATTTTATGGCTGGCTGCAGAGGAGGGGTTTCAGCTTTGACGAGGCCCGGCTCCTGTACGATGCTTGTCAACAGCTCAAGGAAAAAGATTCTGAATAGAGGTAATACTGTAATGACGTGCAGGACTGTATCATTGCTTGATGTTAAATAGGGGCACACAGAGGAAGATTCAGAATACATAGGCACCTGGACTAGGGACTCCAAAGGAGAGGAAGACACCAGCAGTCAATGGACCGACTTCCAAGTCACCAAGACGCACAATTGTGGCCAGGACTCATTGGCGCGTGGTGCTGTCCTCTCCGGCTGCAATCGCTCTTAGCTTCTCCATTTGCAGACGGGCAAGGGCCTGACTCTCCCTTTTGCTGTCAGAGTCTAGGTGGTGCTCCTTCCGAAGCTCCTACTCAGGACAGGGAGGGAACGGGAAAAGGGATTTAAGTGCGCATAGCAGCTTCAGATACTCCATTGTCCCTCCCAGAGAGATAACCATGCTTCCAAGCCGTCACCCACCTCTTCAAATGCGGCTCGCTCGGGCATGCAGGCAACTATCACTGCCGAACCCAGCGTGGGCCATGCCAGGAAGTAGGCCAGCTTGAAGGCATTCAGCTGCTTTCGCCTGTAAAATATCGTGGCTGCTCCAGCGAGGGTCAACCCAGCACCCACAAGCATTCCATCTTGCGCGGTGACGATCATCGTGAGGTCGCGACCTCGTCCCACGTACTTCCTGCTATTCCCTTTGCTTCGTTGGCCACAGGGGACGTGATGAGATCTCGCTCTCAACACCGGCCGATGAAATTACAAGACATTTGCTGGCAATGTGCTGTTAATTTCGCGCTCATGTCTGTGTGGAGCTGTTCGACATGAAGCCGGGTGTGCATGCGACCGTCCTGGGGCGCCGGCGCGCAGAGAAGAAGACCCCGACGATACTCAGCGTGAGCAAGCCATGCCATCAGGTCCAAGAGGCAATTAATGCAATATATAATATAACCCATATGTTTTGTTGACACGCTCCACATGGGCGCCCGCGAAGCGTGCTCGGGGACACCATGCCCGCCAGCGGAAGCGGTCGGAAGTGGATGCGGAGGAAATAAAGCAAATAGAGGCTGCTTTGCGGTCAAATGCGCCAGAGCCTGGAACAAACCCACTGTCCCTGCCTGCCGCACCTGAAGGAGTGACCACCTGGCCTGCCTCTCGCACCTTTGACGGCCTGCCGCTCTCCCGGCACACCAAGGAGGGGCTGGCTGCTGCCAAATTCACTCGTCCCACCGCAGTGCAGAGGGCGGTCTTGCCCCATGCTCTGCTGGGGAGGGATGTGCTGGGGGCCGCAAAGACAGGATCTGGCAAGACCCTGGCCTTCCTGATCCCGGTGAGTGGTGCGGATGGAGGTACTGGATGGCTGGCCTGCCGCTGCTTCCATGCACCACAGCCACTGGGGAGATGTGAAGCCCATCAGATCCCTATTGGCTCCAGAATCGGGTCCGCAGTCCCCAGGATTCAGGAACTCACCAATGATGATGCCTTTCACCTGTCTCCCCTTGATTGCCAGGTTCTGGAGTGCCTTTACAGGCAGCAGTGGGGCGCCTTGGACGGTCTGGGTGCCCTCATTCTCACTCCCACGCGTGAGCTAGCACTTCAGGTACTATTGGTCGCATTTGGGATTGCCTGTTGCAGGGCTTTTCAATGTCTTCTCTTGCGACTAGAGCCTACCTAGAAGCACCCTAGAGCTCGCTCTGCCTCTTTGGATTGTGAGCGGCTCGTGAAACCAATCTGGATGAGTACTGGACTGGAACCCAGGCAGCTTCAGGTCCAATCCTCTCAGGGCCCTTGTACATCGCATCCACCCCCCTGCTCCAGATCTTCAATGAGCTGAGGAAGGTGGGCGCCAAGCATGAATTCAGCGCCGGCCTCCTGGTGGGTGGGAAGGACGTCGCCGAGGAGCAGTCGCGCATCTCCTCCTTGAACATCCTGGTGGCGACGCCGGGCCGCCTGCTGCAGCACATGGACGAGACGGCGGGGTTTGACTGCTCCGGGGTCAAGATCCTGGTGCTGGATGAGGCGGACCGCATCCTGGACCTGGTGAGTGAATGGCATGGGAGTGTGTGCGCTAGAGGTCAGCTCCTCGTGCTGCTTAAATTTCTGATGAGGGCTCTCTCTTACCATCCACCCTGACGTGCCCTGAATGACTGCCCCTGCGTTTGAAGGGAGGCGAAGTGCCTGATCACATCCTCGACATCAATCTCGTCGTCTTTCACCCACATTCCCACTTTTCCTCATCCCCCCACCCCTGTGTAATCCCATGCGCCAGGGCTTCTCGGCGGCACTTAATGCCATCGTGGACAACCTGCCGGCTCAGCGCCAGACGCTGCTGTTCTCTGCCACGCAGACCAAGTCGGTCAAGGACCTGGCCCGGCTGAGCCTGCGCAGCCCCGAGTACCTGGCCGTCCACGCTGAGGCCGAGGTGCCCACCCCCATCAAGCTGCAGCAGGCGTACATTGTCTGCCCCCTCCAGGACAAGACGGACATCCTGTGGTCATTCATCCGCTCCCACCTCAAGGTCAGTGCAGGGCAGTGCAGTGGGTGGGTGGGGGATTCCAGAACGCACCATACGACTACTGCCCTAGTGGAAGCCTGTGGCCGGCGGGGCAATGCTCCTTCAAGAAGGGTCGCAGCAGGGACCCTGCTGCCTGCCCCGGCGCCCTGCGCGGCCTCACTTCCCCATTCTAGCCTCAAGCCAGCCTTCCCTGACCCGCCCAGGCAAAGATCATCATCTTCCTGTCCACCTGCAAACAAACTCGGTTCTACTTTGAGGCATTCCGCAAGCTCCGGCCAGGGGTCCCCCTCCGCGCCTTGCACGGGCGTCTGAACCAGTACAAGCGCATGGGCGGTGAGTTTTGGTGACAGTATGGCAATCTGTGCCTACAGGTTTCCTGTCTGTGCAGTCGCGTCCAAGTATGCAGGCACCTTTCTGCACGGCCCAGGGGCTTCAAACAGGCAGTCCCTGTTTTCAGTTCGAAAGTTACAACCCTGCCCATCCCTCACCCCACTTCATAGTCTTCTACGACTTTTGTGAGTCCAAGGCCATGGTGCTGTTTGCCACAGACATTGCTGCACGCGGCCTCGACTTCCCCACCGTCGACTGGGTCATTCAGGTGGTTCAGGGTCTAGGGAAGGTGGGCATTTGGGGCTCTTGTGAGTGTTTTGCACGAATACCCAAACGTCAAGGAGCAGCTGCTGTGCAAGGCCACTTCATCGGGCAGCGCCTTGCCCCTCAGCCGCCGGCTGTGCGTTCCGCATGAACTCTTTCCGATCCTCTCTCCCCACCACGATGCCAGGCTGACTGTCCAGAGGACAGTGCGGCCTACATCCACAGGGTGGGCCGTACCGCGCGATACATGGCGGCTGGCAAGAGCCTGCTCCTGCTGCTGCCCAGCGAGAGCGAGGGGATGCTGGCCTCGCTGGGTGAGGCCAAGATACCCATCAAGCAGCTGCGCCACAACCCGGAAAAGATCCAGTCTGTGACCCCGGCGCTGCAGGCCCTGCTGTCGAAGGACGCCGAGATCAAGGTGTGTGTGTGAGGAGGGCGACAGGCGGTGTTGGTGCTGCGCTGCAGAGCGTCATGCAGCGTCTATGATCCCTAGATGCCATCGCCACATGAGCGCAGCGGCCATGGATCCTTTGAGTCTTTGCACAGACCATTCCTGGCCCGACAATACTTGGGACCTTCTTCACCTGCACTGTCCTACTCAATTCAAATGCAAATCCACGCCTCCTCACAGGGCCTGGGCCAGAGAGCCTGCACCTCTTACCTACGCTCGGTGCACCTGCAGCCAAACAGGTCCGTCTTTGACGCCGCTGCCCTGCCGGCGGGCGAGTACGCTGCCAGCCTCGGCCTTGCAGCCGCCCCCAAGCTACGCTTCCTCAAGCGCGGCGCAGCTCAGGGCCCGGGTGCTGAAAGGCGGGACGAAGGCGAGGGCGGGGCCAGTGATAGTAGCGGGGAGGAGGAGGAAGCAGCAGAGGGCAGGGCACATGCGAGAGAGGCAGGGCCATCTGGGCCCCCTCCAGATGAGAAGGATGACTTCCTGGTGGTGAAGCAGCGTGACGCCCTGGGAGTGAGCGAGGCTGTGGCCGAGGAACCCATCTTGAATCTGGCCGCGAGCCAGTCAACAGGAAAGAAAAAGCGGTTGCGCATCCGCCCCGACCGACCCAGCAGCAGCAGAATGGTGTTTGATGAGGAGGGGGAGGCGGTGGACCCGCTGGCGCAGCTCGTTCCAGAGGGAGCGGCAAGGTAGGGGTTGCAGGGGCTGGCATGCCTGTTTTGGGGGTTGGGGTGTGGTGTGGGCTGTTGAGCACCTGCCGAGTGCAGATGGCTCCACACAGTCCCGACCTGGGATCAGGTCATCACCCGTCCCTTCCCTCTGCAACCCAAAGGAGCGATGAGGGGCACGAGACGGCGGCGCAGCGTGCACAGCACGTGCGGACACAGATGGCGCAGCGCGACGCTCTGGACAAGGCGGAGCAGCGTGCCAGGAGAAAGGAAGAGCGGGAGTCCAAGAGGGTGAGCCAAGGGGGGCCAGGCACAGGGAGGGCATCAGGCCTGCTGGCGTCAGGGGTATCTTTCTGCCTATCCTGGTTCTGACACTTGCAACCAGAAGTCTCGACGAACAGGACTCTCCATATCCTCCCCCGATGCTCACTTGCAGGCCAAGCGCCTCGCACGTGAGAGGGAGGAGGCCATGGAAGGGGAGGAAGAGTCTGCCAGTGCCGCCTCGGATGGCGAGGAGAGCGAGGAGGAGAAGTTTGGCGGGCGCTTCAGGAATGGGCGTGGGGCGGAGCTGCGGGAGGAGGTGGGTGGGGTGGGGCTGTTGAGGGGATATGCTGTCAGAGCCTTTGTGAATCCAAGGGCGGCAAGCTCCTCCCTTGGAGACGACTGGTTTGCATGCCGGCTCCCAACATGCCCTGCTGTGCCGATTCCGCGCACCCCTGCTGACGCATGCAGGCTGGCGCCGAGGTGGCGCACATGGGCATGGTGCCGGCGACACTCGAGGACCAGGAGGCCTTGGCCCTGCGGCTCCTGTCTGGACGGAGAGGAGGAGCCTGACAGGGCGGGAAGCCTCTGGGGAGGTTCTGGGAATCAGTGCCCTCCTTCATTCTTCCTGTTCACAAGTGCTCCCTCCCGTCCCCTCCACCCCTCCCAAGACACACTGCAGTGTTCCGGTTATTACAAGGGTGCATACAGTGAGAGTGATCAAGAATCGTACACGGTAAGGAACAGAGGGAGGGAAGAGGGGGCACCAGCTGAATGGGCCAGGGCTTATGGGATCGAAGACGGGGGATGATCTCGGGAGGCCCAGTCTTCTCGCATGGAGGCGGGATGGACGGACGCAAGTATTGGAGACAAGGTACACGGCAGAGCAAGGGCGGAGTGGCAGACGATGAAAGGTTGAACGTGGGGGCATCTTGGGAGGCTTGGGGCGCACACAGCACCTCTGTCGCAGAGTGTGCTTGCTGCTGTGGAAAAGGTTGTGTTGGGTGGTGCCCTTGTGGGCGAGGCACAGGGAACGCAGGGGAAGGGGGCTGCGCGACTTGCGGCCTGGCACGGAATCGCCCCAGCGGAAGGTGCCAGGGTGTTTGGGTGCCTTGCCGCTCGGGGTGGGGGGGCAGGGCCTCCGAAACCGGTTGCAGCAGCCAAGGAGGCTATGTCCAGGCGCAGGGTGCTCCTCGCGCCCCTGCTCCCGCCGGCCCCCTACTCCGCGGCAGGGCGGCAGGGGTTGAAGGGCTCCAGGCGCCCGAGGTTGGTGGCGGACAGCGCCTCGTCCAGGAGCACCTCGCCCTCGCACACCTGGCACAGCACGCGCGGCGCGGCGTCCAGCGCGGCGCTCAGCCCCTCGTCCTGGTCCCACCCCGCGTCAACGACGAGGCGGGCCAGCGAGCGCGACCCGCCCACCAGCGCGCGCAGCCCGCCCGCGCTCAGCGAGGCCCCGCGCCCCGTCCCCGTCAGCGCCAGCCGGCGCAGCGCGGGCAGCGCGGCCAGCGGCGCGACATCGGCGTCGCTGGTCCAGCCGTGCGCCAGGCTGGCCTGCTCCAGGCTCGGCGCGGTGTGCAGGCCCGCCGCCAGTGCGCGGTGCAGCGCCGTGGAGCAGCCGACGCAGCGCAGGGAGACCAGGCGGGCCAGGCACGCGCCGTCGTGCGCGTGCCGTGCGTCCATGGCCGTCCCCGGGCAAGTCAGGTGGCTGAGGTCCAGGCGCTCCAGCGCGGGCAGCGCGGCCGCCAGCGCCAGCGGCGCCCAGCCGTCGGGCAGCGCCGCGGCGTGCAGCGCCAGCGAGCGCAGGGAGCGCAGCGCGCGCAGCGCGCGCAGCGCGGCAGCGTCCAGCGCCGGCACGTGCGCCAGGCGTAGGGCCGTGAGGGGCAGCGGCGCCAGCGCCGCCAGGCGTGCGACCAGCGCCTCGCCGCCCTCCAGCGAGACGCCCAGGGCGGCCAGGGCGGGGAAGCGGGCCAGCGCGGCCAGCTCCTTGCCCGCGTCGCCGCCGTGCACCTCGGCCAGGCGCAGCGTGCGCAGCGCGGGCAGGCCGCCCGCGCCCGCGACGCGCGCCAGCGCGCCCAGCTCCCCGCCCCGGCACGCCAGCTCCAGATGGGCCAGGGCGGGCAGAGCGGCGAGCAGGGCCTCCAGCCCCGGCACCCCGGCCTCCTCGGCGCAGGTGGACCCGCCCAGGTCCAGGCGCCGGAGGCCGCGCAGCGGCGCCAGGCCACCCATGCCCTCCAGCCGGCAGTTGACCAGCGCCAGGTCGCGCAGCGCGGGCGCCGACCCCAGCGCCGCCAGCGCCGCCGCGTCCAGCTGGCCGCAGGAGGAGAGCCTCAGCGCGCGCAACGCGGGCATGCCCGCCAGGCCGCGCAGCGCGCCGCCGTCCAGCCCCGCGCAGCCCCGCAGCTCCAGGCGCTCCAGCTGAGGCAAGGAGAGCACGGCGGCCACCGCCTCGAGCATGCCGTGCCAGAGAGCGCCCAGCTCCAGGGAGGTCAGGTCGCCAGACGACTATTCGTGTGTGGGAACAGAGGGTGTGGTGGGTGAGTGCATGATGTGGGGCAGTGCGTCGCATTCCAGAGGTGTGGCACGGGCGACTGTCACTCCATGGTGTGCGATGCATCGCTCGGAGGGGCTGCCCAGCCGCCGCCAGCCATGACACCCAGCACAACCTCATGGCCCACATACACAACATCCAGGATCAAATCACCTGGGGGGAGGTGCCATTGACCCAGGTCAGGGAGAGGGCGCGCAGGCTCTGGGGAAGGTTGGCCAGCTCCGCGTGGCTGCCGGGCAGGAGCTGCTTGCGCGACAGGTGCAGGCTCTGCAGGTTGGGCATGCGGCAGATCTGACGCAGGACCTGGGCCCGCATCCCATTGGAGTGACCCAGTGTCAGGTGCTTCAGGTCCAGCTGTGATGAGGGCAGGGGAGGCGGCCGATGGTTGGCAAGTGGAGCAGGCCAGGGGAGAGGCTGGAGGTGCATGCCGAACGGTGTTTGTTTGCCTTTCGGAACACGACGCTTGATCGCTTCTGCCAATGCTCCCCCCAATGCGACGCCCAATGCATCATCATAGATGCCATGAGCCTGTCCGCCAAAGGACACTGCAGGTGCGCCGTCCCTGGGTGGCTTTGCCTGCTGAAACATTTGAATCGGCAGCATCGCGATTAGTCACTGCACGACTACCCCCACCCACTGCGGCGACGTGCCTGTACGAGTGCCGGCACCCAGTACTCCTCGCCAGCCCGGCCCCAGCCACGCAGCATGGTGAGGTCCACCGACTCCAGTGATGGGTAGCGGGCTCGGGTGATGCGGGATGGGCGGGCGTATGAGTCTGGGCACAGCTCCGTGAGCGTCTCCCTCGCTGCCGTGGACCAGGCCTTGCAGACCAGGCGCACGCTGCGACGGTCCTCGACGCTTAGCATGCCGATAACATGCTTGATGCATGCCGCTTGCGCGCCATCGACGGACCCCCATGTCCTCCGGAACGGCACTCGCTGAGCAGCAGCAGCATTTCCATGGGAGGCCGACACCAAGACATTCAAGGAGGGTGGCGAGGGCGGGCCAGCCGATGCATGCCTGTCCAGGTGCTTTAAGGAAGGTCCAAAACAGAAGAAACGCCTTCGTGAGGGGACCTTCGCCACCCTCTCCGCCGTCGACAGCTGATACGCCTCCGTCATTAATATATTACTGACTTTTGATGAGACATGAACCCGGACTATGTAATACCACGAGATGGCAGGTGAATTATTATGAGGACATGCGACGTTCAAGCTGGGGTATATCCTTACATTACCAACGCGCTGGTGCACAACCGTTGGGTAATCGCTGGACGATTCGAGGTACGGGTAGGGTTTCGGAGATCTGCGGCTCCGCAGAGATTCCACCTCAACGACAAGAGTCCAGAATCCCATCGTACTCAATTTCACTCTGCCAATCGCAGGATTTTGCGGAGATGTCCTGTGACATCGCATTATGAGCCTCTAACCTCGTCCACCGGTGCCCAGTGCAACAAGTGATCCCCCTCCATTGATTCCCCGCTGATGCTTTCCCCCTAAATCTCAAAATGATTTCCTGAGTAGCCAATACGGAAGATCCTCTCCGCGCTTGTAATGAGGATCTGTCCACGGTGGTGATCACCACGCGGTCGCCGGTCCAGATTCCTCAGTCACCACATCTCGCGCGCACAGCTTGGTCGTACCCAGCAGCCGGTCTACCACGGCATACAGAAGATCGCCGGTTGAGGGCATCGACGGCATGCGCTGTGCAGGGCCAAGGCTGATGAGCCATATTGGGCGCGGCTTGGCCATGGAGACGGGAATCTTTCTTGGCCCTCCGGCCCCGTGCCGGACGCTCGCGGGTCACGTGCCAAACGCCAGCCAGACACACCGTGTGGAGTCGGGCGGGAGTCAGCGGGTGGAAAGAGTGCCTCTATTCACCCAGATCCTCAACGTAGGGGGGATTGGGTGAAATCGGGTTTGCAGTGGCCGGGATTGTCAGGTATCGAAGCAACAGCTGAGCCTGTGAGGTGACCATGGATGGCATCTAACAAGGCAGGCAGACCCCCTCTGTGCATGTGGCTGGCAGATTTCTTGGGTTTTATGGTTGAAGAAGCCGTTTCAATGAGAATGTGGAGCAAACAAACAGCAGGGAGGGGATGGTCAAGCATGCCCAGCGGCGGCACCGAATCGGGAGCGGGCTCTCGAGCCCCCCATGCATTCGGAGGGGTGCGACCTGCCAGTCATTCAAGCGAGCAGCTGTGCCACCAGCCACGGGAGGCCCAACGGGTGTGCACTGGATCAACATGGGGTGTAAAGTACGTGAGTGTGTTGTGGGTGAGGAGGGAGGGCAGGGAGGGAGATGGTGTGGGCGACGAGCATGGCCCGCGAGGTCCAGGCGCCGAGCTTCATCAACCGGGCGCACCCCCGATCAATCCACCAATCAGGCCTTGTTGTCCCCCCCCTCGGTGAACTCGGCGTCGATGACGTCGTCGCCGCCCGCTCCGGCACCCCCCGCGCCGGGCGCGGCGCCGCCCTGCGCGCCCGCCTCGGGCCCCGCCCCGGGCGCGCCGCCCGCGCCGCCGCCGTACACGGCCTGGCCCAGGGCCATGGCCTCCTTCTGCAGGTCCTCGATGGCAGCCTTGATGGCCGCCGCGTCCTCTCCCGGCGCGGCCTTCTTCACCGCCTCCACCCGCTCCTCCAGCTTGGCCTTGACGTCGGCGGGCGCCTTGTCCCCGAACTCAGCCAGCTGCTTCTCGGTCTGGTACACGATGCTGTCGGCCTGGTTCTTCAGGTCCACCAGCTCGCGGCGCTTGCGGTCCTCCTCCGCGAACTTCTCCGCGTCCTTGACCATGCGGTCCACCTCCTCCCCCGGCAGCGTGCTGGCCCCCGTGATCTTGATGTCCTGGCTCTTGCCCGTGCCCTTGTCGGAGGCGGTGACGGACAGGATGCCGTTGGCGTCGATGTCGAAGCGCACCTCGATCTGGGGCACGCCGCGCGGCGCGGGCGGGATGCCGTCCAGCCGGAAGTTGCCCAGCGACTTGTTGTCGCGCGCGAACTCGCGCTCGCCCTGCAGCACATTGATCTCCACGCTGGACTGGCTGTCGGCGGCGGTGGAGAAGGTCTCCGTCTTGGAGGTGGGCAGCGTGGTGTTGCGCGGGATCACCTTGGTGGCCACCCCGCCCAGCGTCTCCAGGCCCAGGGACAGCGGGGTCACGTCCAGCAGCACGATGTCGGACACCTCCCCCGCCAGCACGCCGCCCTGGACGGCCGCGCCCAGGGCCACCACCTCGTCGGGGTTCACCGTCACGTTGGGCTTCTTCTGGGCCAGCCGCTCCACCAGGCCCACCACCGCCGGGATGCGGGTGGACCCGCCCACCAGAATCACCTCGTCCAGGTCGGAGTAGGACAGCTTGGCGTCGCGCAGCGCGGCCTCCAGCGGCAGGCGGCACCGCTCCAGCAGGTCGCTGGCCAGCTGCTCAAACTTGGAGCGCGACAGGCTGGCGTCGATGTGCTTGGGCCCATCGGCGGTGGCGGTGATGAAGGGCAGGCTCACGCTGGTCGTGCTCGTCGCGCTCAGCTCGATCTTGGCCTTCTCCGCCGCCTCGGTCAGGCGCTGCAGCGCCTGGCGGTCCTTGCGCAGGTCGATGCCCTCTTGCGCCTTGAAGTCGTCGGCCAGCCAGTCCACGATGCGGCGGTCGAAGTCGTCGCCGCCCAGGTGGGTGTCGCCCGAGGTGCTCAGCACCTCGAACACGCCGTCGCCCACCTCCAGCACCGAGACGTCAAAGGTGCCGCCGCCCAGGTCGAACACCAGGATGGTCTCGTTGGACTTGCGGTCCAGGCCGTAGGCCAGGGAGGCGGCGGTGGGCTCGTTGATGATGCGCAGCACTTCCAGGCCGCCGATGCGGCCCGCGTCCTTGGTCGCCTGGCGCTGGGAGTCGTTGAAGTAGGCGGGGACGGTGATCACCGCCTGGGAAACGGCGCCGCCCAGGAAGGCCGACGCGTCGTCCGCCAGCTTGCGCAGGACGATGGCGCTGATCTCCTCGGGCGCAAACTCTTTCTTCGCGTTGGGGGATGCGATCTTCACGTTGGAGGAGCCGTCGGAGACCACACGGTATGGCACCTGCTTGCACTCCTCCCCAACCTCTGCCATCTTGCGCCCGATGAAGCGCTTGACGGAGAAGAAGGTGTTCTCGGGGTTCACCACCGCCTGGCGCTTGGCGATCTGTGATCAGGGTGGGAAGGATGGGGGGTTGTGGAAGTTTTGAACAGTGTCCCCGTTGGGGACTTCCACAGCAATGCTGTGAGTTTCAGCTTGAGGCAGTGCACGACCTCCGAACGACAACCCACTCGCAAACCCAGAAAGTTCTACACAGGGCCACAAACTCTCCCCTGATCGTCTATACACTCCCCCCAAAGCCCTCACCTGCCCGACCAGCCGGTCGCCGGCCTTGGTGAAGGCCACCACGGAGGGCGTGGTCCGGCCACCCTCGGCATTGGTGATGATCGTGGGCTTGCCTCCCTCCATGGCTGCCACCGCGGAGTTGGTGGTGCCCAGATCGATGCCCACCACCTGCAGTTGGGTGCCGTCGCATTGATGTCAGCGCGTGGTGCAGGGACCAGGACCAGGACCGCATGCATGCTGGTCGACAGGACCCACACGTGAGGCTCCCCCGAGGACTCGCCTTCCCAGCCCTGATGGCCATGGTGCTGCGTCGTCCCACCGCGGGACGGAAGGCTTGTCGGGATTGCAGGGGTGCTCCAGAAATGGAGGCCCGCCCGCCTCGCAGTCCCTTGCTCCCAAGGAAGCCAGTGCCCATCGCCGTGCTCATGGTCGCGCTCTGCATGCCTGCTCGGTTACCACACCTTGCAGTAGACTTGTATATGGGATACAGGATGTGTAACAATAAAGCAATGTGGCAGGGGAGGGAGGGTCACCGGGCCCTTGTTCCGTGGGTCCGCATGCGTTGGCGAAGGGGATAAATCATCGAGCGAGTTCCAGGAAAGGGCGACCATGCGGTCGTTCCTGCCTCACACCGGGAATGAAGCTTCTGGAAAGGACATCGCACTGCGGCCACGCCGGGCGCCTGGCCCGGCGTGCACCGTCATGGAACGCCCCTTGGTAGACGAAGAGGAGGCGCTTGGCCGGTCTCGGTGCCCGCAGTGGCAGGGTGCGCCGCCCAGCACCCGCGCCGCCTCCCCCTGCCGGCCGCGCCTAGTCGTCTTTTCGCCTGGTAGGGGGCGTCCTGGAGTGCAGAGGATGCATTTGTCTGTCCTGGGTCTCCTGTCTCAACCCGGGCAGGAACTGGGAGGAGGCCCAGGCCCTCAGCGCGCCCAGGCCCCTGCCCCGACCACCCTCCCCGCCCGGCAGGCGCTGACGTGGCGGCCGGTGGGGGCGGGGGGGTGGCTCGGCCGGCACGACTCCCCGGTATGTGCCCTGTAGTATCAGTGGAGGGAAGACGTGGGGTGCACGGCTCGAGCACTTGCAACAGAGCTGGTGAGCAACCATGCCTGTTGGACCATCACATGACGACCATCCAGAGCTGGCCAATACACAATCCTGCCAGGTTGCTCACATGCACCATCTCCAGAAGGGACCACCCCAGACCTCCCCCGCTTTGGCCCTTTCTTCAGCTCCTTGAATCTCACCTCCATCTGATGGGGCTGGGCTCAGCGAGGACCCTGCCTCCCCAGAGTTGCCCTCACCGCCTCTCCTTCGCCGTAGTTGCTCGTCGCCGCCATCGGCATCGAAGCCGCCATCGTCCATGCGCTCCGTGAGTTCCACTTCCTGTGGGCCCCGTCTGGATGATCCCGCTCCCCGTGAGGCAGGCATCAGCAGGTGACACATGTCATCGTCGTCATCTGCACATGCATGAGGGGGGGTGTCGGATGAACAGTGCTGCACGGAGCGCCATGGTGTACTTTGATTTGATACACGGGGGGGGACCATGTGCACATACAACCATCCCTGGTCTCGATGCCATAAGAACCCCAGCACAGGCCAAAGCGTGGTCTGGTGCTTTCAAAGAGCTGTGATCCAGGCTGCACAGCAGGCAGCAGTATGAACCAGCTTGGTCAGGAATATTCCCACATAAAAAGCCGAGATGCAGACGAGCCGCTGCTCACGAGCGAGGCGACGGTTCATGCCCACAGGCACCATGGCTTATGGCCTCCATCTCAATCCCACCTGAGCCCAAAATGCTTGTGCTCGTGCTGTGGTACGCCCGCCCCATGCTCCCTGCAGCGCCCTGGCTGCTCCTGATGAGGTGCAGCTGGGCGACATGGCTGCTCGGTGGCTCGGGACTCGTCCCCAGAGTCCCATAATGTGTCACAATCATGCCAGCCCACGTGGAGTACTCCTGCCTGCAGGAATGAGATGGTGGATGGGGTTGGCAAAGTGAGGGGATGAATATGACATCACAAGGGACAGGGCTCGAGGGGTGGAGCGCACTTGTTGTGGGCAACTCACGCCCACAGGGTGTGCTGCCTAGAGTTTGGTCTGTGAACCTGCACTGTCTGGAACTGCCCTACACAGAACACAGCAATGCAACGCAGGGAACAGCAATGTGCGCTGCGCAGTAAGCCAGTGCGGCGGCGATAACCCACCCGAGGGGAAGCCGCTGAGTTGGGATGAGCAGCGTCTCCCTGGCATACATGGCCGAGTCCGACAGCAGGCCATTACACCTCTTGATGTCCGCAACCTGTTGGGAGACGGTTGATGGCTCTGGATCAGTGATTGGAAGCGGCTCTGGGTAGCCTTAGGGCCAGCTCTACCCTGCAGGCTTGCGCCGTAGGGAGCATTGTTGACAACACTGATTACCAGGCCTCCACCTCTATGCCGGACTCACGGATGCGTTGTATCGAATGGCAACGCCAGCCAAGGTGTCAAGCTTCGTCACCTGTGAGCATGTGGGGAGTGAGCTGGTGGAATGAGAACTGACTCCCTCTTGACGAGGAGCAGGAGGGACAGGCTTTGGATCATCCGATCAAGATAGAGCCCCACATGATGTGTGATGAACTGTTGTCCAGAGCTGCTGGCGCTCTCTTCTGGTTCCGAGGTGGGTCGTGACGACTGAGGATCAGTCATACCCTCATGCTCTGGGCCGCACTGGCCCAGCAAGCCAGGTCGGGGTTACTAAGAACGACTTTTGTATCTCAGCGGTCTATCTGGGGGTCCAGTAGGTCGTGGAATTGAAGTCGTGCGTCCCTCTTAACTGCCCGGTTGCTCGTGCAGCTGGTACGTCGCTGGACGGAGGCCCGCGTCCTGTGCAGATGCGAACACTTGGCAGCGCATACACAGAAGCTGTCAAGGAAGTAAGCGACTGGATGCAGTTCGTGAGCAGGGACTCGTCCTGTTCACAGCGGGCGTTACTTTCACATTTCGGAGAGCCGGATCTGGCCGCGCGCAACGCATCACCAGTTTGGCAGCAATGCAGTGGGAAAAATATGGCATTGACATGTCAATTGTATCAGTGTAATAAGCATTCGATACGTCCTCAGAATGCACGAGACACCCTCGCCAAACAATCCTATGTCGGCTGTGGAGGCGCTCCCACAGCGACCCCCACGAGTACGAAAGCGTCAGAAACTGGAACAGAGCGAGCTTATAGAGAATTGTGCAACGTCAGAGGTACCGAAAAATGAAAATAGAAAGAAGACCACTCAGCCTGGGACTGAGCTACAAGACAGGACGACGGAGGGAGGGGCAGAGGAGCCATCAGCATCCCACCCAGATGCACCCCCGGGGGCTCGGTATGAATGTGAGTGGGTTCACTGACGGCATGGTAATGGCTTCGACTGTCCCATCCTTGGAGGCCGGGTGTGTGTGTGTGTGTGGTCGAGAGGGGAAGGGGGGGGTTCATGTGCATGGCGAGTACATTGCATGCTGGCCATATTGCAAGTGCACCCCTGGAATGCATTATCGACAATCTCACCTCGCCCTTGTGTACCAGACATGGACCACACTGCAGACATACAGCTTCATTCCTGTGAGCGGTTGATTTGGGAATGCATGATGCAATGCATGATGATGTTCTGACTGCTTCCTGGGTGGAGATGATCATCAGGCATTCTGTGAATCCAGGTACACTCACTGAATGCTGCAGGGGGCAACACCCTGAAGGAGGCACTTGAACAGGTCGGACTGTGCATGTACAACTACATGACCCCCCTCACAGGCATGGGAGAGGCATTGGACAGTCCGCCCCGGTGAGATGCCTGTGCATCCAGCGTGTTTGAGAGAGTCGTGGGGCCTGTAGTGAGTTTGTGATGATGTGGGTCGATGTTGTGCCTGGGTCTTCTACGTCGCACATTGTTTCGGATCTACATTGCTCTCCCACATGGGGTCAAGTCTTCACTCGACTCCCAGCTCCATCCCATGCACAGGAAGTTCCAGGCCACAGGCCATGACCTCCACTCTCTTCTCTTTTCCTTCCTGGACGAACTCCTCTTCGTATTCAACACCGAATTCTTTGTCTGCCAGACCCTGAGCATCACCAGTCTGGACCTGGAGGGCTTCACACTGGAGGCCGAAGGGTAGGGTATTTTGCAGGAACCGCAAGGCAGGGTCCTGAGGGGGTTGGAATGCGCTTTCAACCGACCCGTGCCGCCACTCTTATGCAGTGGGGGCATGCCCATGGATTATTTGGGGGTGGCGGAAACGCGCAGATGGCTGTCCACCAAGGTGTCTTCAGTCCCTGCAGTGCTGCCTGGCCGCCTCCCTTTGGCTCCAAAACACCCAAAGCTCCCCTCCCACCACTCATCGCCAGGCGGGGCGACACCTTTGACCGTGCACGGCATGCTGCGGGCACGGAGATCAAAGCCATCACATACTCTGCCATGGAGGTGGTGCAGAATGCAGAGCGCACCGATGTTTACGTTATCGTGGACATCTGAGGTAGACGGGCTGGGCAACACCCCTGAAAAGGGGGAGGTAGGCCCAGCGCAGCAGCCTGCACCCATCAACATGACCCCCCCCAGGTGCACCTGCTGTTGCCCCCTCGCACCCAACCTAACACGGCAGCGCTTACATGATTAAGAATACAGCATGGGTTGGGTACATCGTCAGGGGAAAAGCAGGGCTGTATGTCTCCCTCGCTGTCTTGGAGCGCCAAACAATGCGAAAAAAGAGGGGGCGAGGCATACGTACAGGGAGAGGGGCTTGCTTGGCGGTGCGATGTGGATGAACCCGGGGCGGACAGGCCGGGGACATTGCTATGCATGTCTTGGGGTAGACTTGGGTTGAGCAGGTGTGAGTGCGCAAGGTTGAGAGGGGTGCGCAAGGTTGGGGGGGGGGGCTGCAAGGTCGGGGGGCAGGGGGGGAAGGTGTGCGGCCGGGCTCCGGCCGCGCGCTCGGCTCGTCTCCGGCCAGTCCCGCAGCCAGCTCCCTCGAGGCTGCTGCAGCGCACGCCGGGCGCACTCACTCATGCGCCGACGTGGGCTCCGTGACATTCCCTGCCTCCTCGCCGCGAAGCACCTTCGGCAGCTCGCCTCCCACCACTCATCGCCAGGCGGGGCGACACCTTTGACCGTGCACGGCATGCTGCGGGCACGGAGATCAAAGCCATCACATACTCTGCCATGGAGGTGGTGCAGAATGCAGAGCGCACCGATGTTTACGTTATCGTGGACATCTGAGGTAGACGGGCTGGGCAACACCCCTGAAAAGGGGGAGGTAGGCCCAGCGCAGCAGCCTGCACCCATCAACATGACCCCCCCCAGGTGCACCTGCTGTTGCCCCCTCGCACCCAACCTAACACGGCAGCGCTTACATGATTAAGAATACAGCATGGGTTGGGTACATCGTCAGGGGAAAAGCAGGGCTGTATGTCTCCCTCGCTGTCTTGGAGCGCCAAACAATGCGAAAAAGAGGGGGCGAGGCATACGTACAGGGAGAGGGGCTTGCTTGGCGGTGCGATGTGGATGAACCCGGGGCGGACAGGCCGGGGACATTGCTATGCATGTCTTGGGGTAGACTTTGGTTGAGCAGGTGTGAGTGCGCAAGGTTGAGAGGGTGCGCAAGTTGGGGGGGGGGCTGCAAGGTCGGGAGGCAGGTGGGGAAGGTGTGCGGCCGGGCTCCGGCCGCGCGCTCGGCTCGTCTCCGGCCAGTCCCGCAGCCAGCTCCCTCGAGGCTGCTGCAGCGCACGCCGGGCGCACTCACTCATGCGCCGACGTGGGCTCCGTGACATTCCCTGCCTCCTCGCCGCGAAGCACCTCCGGCAGCTCGGCCAGCGACACGCGCGCGGCGCCCGCGGCGGGCGGCCCAGCGGGACGCTCGTCGGCGACGCGCCCGCCCGCGCTGGTCAGCGCGTGGGGCGGCGCCTCGGCGCCGCCGCTGCACGCGCGCAGCAGGCAGCCGAGGTCGTCGATGGACACACGGCGCGGAGGGGAGTGCGCCTCCACGTGTGTGGGGCTGCCGGCGGGGGCCGCCACTGCGAACCCCGTGTGGCGGCGCGGGGGCTGGGCCAGGCCCGGGTGGGGCGGGGCGCGCGGCCGCGGGGGCGCCGACGCGCAGGCCGCCGTCGGCGCAGCATCCATGGGTGCGGGGTACCGCAGCGCCCAGCCCGGTCCCAGCAGCAGGTCGTCCTCATCCTCGGTGCAGTCCTCGGCGCCGGCGGCCTCGTCGTGGCAGCTCCGGAACCCGGCGCCGCGCCGGCCGCGCGCCTCGGCCTCAGCCGCCGCGCGCTTGATCAAGGGCAGCACGCGCGCGGCGGCGGCCCCGCGCGCCTCGGCGGCACGGGCCTCATGCCGTGCGGCGCGCGCGCCCGCGCGCTGGACGCGCACGCTGCGCAGCAGGAGCTCCGCCAGGCGCTCCTCCACGCGCGCGCGCCCCGCCTCGTCCACCGCGCGCCGCGCCTCGCCCTCGGCCAGACGCCGCGCGCGCGAGGCCAGCACGCCCGCCAGCGCGGCGCGCGCCTCGGCTTCCGGCACGCCGGGCGCGGGGCGCGCCACCAGCGACAGCCCCGCCACCACCGAGATGGTGCAGGGGCAGACGATGGCGAAGCGGCGGTCCTGGTACACCGCTGCCGCCGTGGCCGACACCGACCCGTCCGAGGTCACCCGGGACGAGGGGGGGGCGAGCGGGGGCCGGGGGGGGCGGCAGCAGGGTCCTGGGATGTCGCGCCGACGCACGACGCACAGGTCGCACTGCCACGCCAGGCTGGGGTGACGGATGGCACCCGCCACGGCCGGCCGCAGGCTGCGCGGTCGGGGACGCCATAGGCGTAGCCCGCGGCGTCGGGGGGCGGTGGGAGGGGCATGACCGCCGCGCTGCGCGCCAGCAGCAGGCTGTGCGGCACGCCCCCGGCCAGCGGCGGGGCAGGGCCCCCGCCGACGTCGCAGTCGAGGGGTACAAGCCCGCCACCCGCGCCAACGTCGGCCACCGCCGCGGCCTGGACACGGGGCGCCGCGGCGCCATGCTGCAACGCCACATCGGCGCGCGCGATCCAGCTGCCGATCTGCGCCAGCTGGTCGTCGGGCATGCCCGCACGGCGCGCCAGCGTGGGCGACCGCTTGAGCAGCGACTTGAGCCGGCCCAGGGACAGCACCGCCGTCTCCAGGTCGGGCTCGGTCAGCCAGAAGTACATGCGGCAGCTGGCCTGCGGCGCCGCCTGCTGCTGCCCCGCGCCAGCCTGCTGCAGGGCGGGCAGGCGCTGCTGCGCCGCCTCGGCGGCCGCGGCCACGGCCTCGGGGGCCTGCGGCGCGGGCGCCGCATCGGGCCCGATGGCCGAGGCGGTGGTCGCGACGTTGCGCGCCGCGATGTCGTCGCGCAGGCGCAGGTAGAAGGCGCGGCCGCCGGCGTCGCCACGGAGCATGTGGATGGTCATCAGCGGCTCGTCCTCCAGGAGCTGGGAGCCGGCGGGGAAGTGGGCCAGCTCCTCCCACACCGCCAGGCGGCAGGAGGACTCAGTGACCTCGCGCAGGAGCGGGCTGTCGCATGCTGGATCGGCCATGGTGTCGCCCAGGCCCTGGCCGCAGCCCACGCTCCGGCTGCTGTGCCACATCAGGGACAGGTTGTCGTTGGGGAGCAGCCAGAGGCTCAGCACCCCGCGAGCCTCCGTGGGCTGCAGCTTGACGGGGGAGGCCAGCTGGCGCGTCATCCGGCCCACGCTGATCTGGACCAGGGGCTCGGAGATGGCGCTCAGCAGCGCGCTCGCCTGAGATGGAGGGAGAGAGGTGCGGGGTGAAGGCAGAGAACTTGGGACGGGGCGTGACTCAGACACGCGTGATCTTGACAGTCGACCCAACTCCATCCACAGGATGGGGGGAATCATCCCCTGCCACCCGTTCTGGTGGTTGCCCGCCGCACCCACCACCCGGCATGCCTGCCCGCAGTTCCGCCATCCTCGCGCATTCTTGTGCCATGGCGCACCTGCTTCGCGGTGACCACGGGCGCCTTGTGCGCCGGGAGCCCGGGTGCAGCCAGCATCACGGTCATCTGCTGGCGGGCACACGTGTACTCGTTGACCAGCCGCGTCTCCAGCCTACAATCTGGAACTGCCGGTCGCGGCATGATTTCGGGCATGCGACCGAGGCTCATGCCCTGGCCGGGGTGCCCTACGGGGAGCTCCGACAGCGCCACGGGGTCCCCGAACGCGCTGTCGCTGTCCGAGCTCGACTCCACGCGCTCGTGGCTCACGCCACGGTGCTGTGCCAGCCAGTGTTGAAAAGAGAGCCAGGGCGCAGAGGAGCCGGGTTCCATGGCGCCCTGTGGAGGAGGGCGCAATACAAGTTTTCAAGTGCGTATGGGGTTGTGCGTGGGGCTTCCACCGGAGCCGTGTTAACGCCTCGAGACACCCTCACCCGGCGTTACCTGATCAGGTGGGGGGCAATTCCGGTGACAGGTCCGGCGTCGATGGTGAGCGCCCTGCCCAGGGGTTGTGCGTCCGGAAGGTATCGCGTTTCCAGCGAGACCAGCGGGAAGGCCCGGCTATCTGCTCAGTTCAGGGGGTTGTGTTCAAAACGTTTGGGGAGAGAAAGCGCTGTAGCTGGAACCCCGCGGTCAGCGGGCATATCCCCAACCTCTGGGTGCGTGAGAGCTTCTCGGCGGGAGAGCGGGAGCGGTGGCGTGATCCACCGTACCAAATATCTTTACGTAATCCGCGACCCCATGACTCGGCGATTATCAATGCTATACCACTGGCACCTCCGCCGGTCCTTACACTGCTGGGCAGGCACGAGGTCACTCTCCAGGGTCACCCCCTCCCCCGGTTGGGCTCGTGCGCTGCGCCTGCATGCAGGCGCGCCGCGGCGCACCCCTGGCACGCTTCAGGCCTTGGCCTCTGCGGCGGGGGTCAGGTCCACCACCTTCTCCCAGGTGAAGACGTCGGGCTTGTCGTCGCGGCCAAAGTGGCCGTACGCGGCGGTGTGGATGTAGCGGTCCCCCCCCCGCTTCAGGTCCAGGGCCTTGCCGATCATGCCCGGGCGGAAGTCGAACTTGGCCAGCACCAGGGCCAGGATCTCGCGGTCGGGGATGGTGCCCGTGCCGTAGGAGTCCACGAACACGGACAGCGGCTCCGGCACGCCGATGGCGTAGGACACCTGGACCAGCGCGCGGCGCGCCAGCTTCCCCGCCACGATGGACTTGGCCGCCTGGCGCGCGATGTAGGCGCCGGAGCGGTCCACCTTGGTGGGGTCCTTGCCGGAGAAGGCGCCGCCGCCGTGCGCGCCCCAGCCGCCGTAGGTGTCGATGATGATTTTGCGGCCGGTGAGCCCGGCGTCGCCGTGCGGGCCGCCGATGACGAAGCGGCCGGAGGGGTTCAGGTGGAAGATGGTGCGGTCGTCCAGGTACTTGGCGGGCACCACGGGCTTGATCACGTGCTCCAGCAGGTCGGCGTGGATCTTCTCGTTGGACACATCGGGCGAGTGCTGGGTGGAGATCAGGATGGTGTGCACGCGGATGGGTACAACTGCGCCGCCGTCCTTGCGGTACTCCACCGTCACCTGTGGATGTGGGGTGTGGGGGTGAATATCAGGATGTGGGGTGTGTGTCTCTTGTGTATGAATGTGGGAGGGTGATCAAAGAGGAGGGTGGGCGCACAGCGGGGAGACAGGGCAGTACCCTTTTGAGTCGAGATCAAGATACCTGTCCCAAAGAAGATGCTCAGAGAGCAGCCTGGGAGCAGAATTTGCATGCGGAGAAAACAGGGCGGAGCAACAGCGGGGACACCTTCCCCAACATTCTTCAATCCCCTCCCCCCCCCCCCCTTAAACCAGCCTCCCTACCTGGGTCTTGCCGTCGGGGCGCAGCCAGGGCAGGGTGCCGTCCTTGCGTGCCTCGGTCAGCCGGTAGCCCAGCTTGGTGGCCAGGACGTGGGTCAGGGGCATCAGCTCCTCGGTCTCGTCGGTGGCGTAGCCAAACATGTGGCCCTGGTCGCCCGCCCCCGTCTCCTCGAGGGTCTTGGTGCCCATGCCGTGCACGCCCTGGCCGATGTCGGGGCTCTGCTCCTCCAGGTGCACCAGCACCTTGCACTTGTCGGCGTCCAGGCCGACGTCGTCAGAGGTGAAGCCGATGTTGCGCACCGTGTCGCGCACCACCTTCTCGTAGTCCACCTTGGCGGAGGTGGTGATCTCGCCGAACACCATCACCATGTTGGTCTTGGTGGCGGTTTCGCAGGCAACCTTGGACTCGGGGTCCTGGGCCAGGCAGGCGTCCAGGATCGCGTCGGACACCTGGTCCGCCAGCTTGTCGGGGTGACCCTCATTCACCGACTCTGCAGTGGGTGAGGGGGTGATCGGTTGGGGGGAGCAAGGAGGTGCACGGCCACCGATCGTGGACACACCTGCTTCAAAAAGATACCCTGCACGTGCTGCTCCGCACGCCCTGCACCAGCAAAGCCCAGAGGCCCAGGGCTGATCCCGATCACCACGTACCGGAGGTGAACAGGAAGGTGTCGGTCGTCATGGTGAGGGGGAAGGCTGGGGGGTGGGGGAGGTGGGTGGCTAGGGGGTGGTGGCCGACGGAAAGATCGCGTTGGTTGGCAAGCTTGAAGCTCAGCTGCGGGACGGCGATGCTCGGCAGCAATGACCGAGATTCCAAGAGGGATTGAGGGAGTGGCTGGCCCGGGGCTGGAAGTTGAATCCTAGCGGAGCAGGGAACACGGGCGAATCGAATCAGGCGCTGATGGACGCCGGCAGGTGGGAGAGCGTACCTTCTTTCCACCCTGACGAGGCACCCCCTTGAAAAGTCTGCCCTTTCAAGGAAATCCAATGCAACCCTCAGCCGGCATGCAAACTTCCAATTAGCGCAGCACTGGTTTCTGCAATTCATATTTGCACCTTCTGGCATTGATCCATGTCGTGCGCGAGCTGCTGAACCACCCCACCCCAAGCCTCATGCCGGCGCAGCAGGATGTATACCCTGCCTGGGCCCACAGCCCGGAGGATGTGGCCGCGCATTTCAACGTAGATTTAGATCACGGTCTCTCCGATGAACTTGTGGCGAAGCAGCGCGCCCTGCACGGGTTCAACGAGCTTGATCACGCTCCGGCCACCCCCCTTTGGAAACTGGTCCTCCAGCAGTTTGACGACACCCTGGTCAAGGTGGGATACTGAAGCAGGGGATGTGTTGAAATATCGGCGCATACTGCGCCTAGGTACATTTCCTTGGCTCACGTGGCTGGGAAAGTGTTGCTGGAAGGGATGGGGACGCCCTGAGGGTATGCTCCAACATGATCCCTTGATACCGATGCGCCCTGATCAGAGGCCCGCCATACATCCCGCTGACGAGTGTCACGCTGTTGTTACCAAGGGTAAACCCTTCCCTCCCCCCATCTCCCTTCCCCCCCTGCAGATCCTACTCCTGGCAGCGGGCATCTCCTTCGCCCTGGCCTGGTTCGACGAGGGCGAGGGCGCTGGCGCGGGCGTGCGCGCCTTCCTGGAGCCCGCCGTCATCATCCTGATCCTGGTGCTGAACGCGGTGGTGGGCGTCTGGCAGGAGGGCAACGCCGAGTCAGCGCTGGAGGCGCTCAAGGAGATGTCGGCAGAGACAGCCAAGGTCTTCCGCGCGGGCCACCTGGTGCCCGACCTGCCCTGCCGCGACCTGGTCCCCGGCGACGTGGTAGAGGTGCACACGGGCGACCTGGTCCCCGCCGATGTGCGCGTAGTGCGCCTGGGCACCGCCCTCTTCCGCGTGGAGCAGGCGGCGCTGACCGGCGAGTCGGCCGCGGTGTCCAAGCACGCGGCGCGCCTGGCCCCCGCCGCCTGCGAGCTGCACGCCAAGGACAACGTGCTGTTTGCCGGGACCGGGGTGGCAGCGGGGACGTGCCGTGCCGTGGTGTACGCCACGGGCATGCGCACCGAGATCGGCCGCATCCAGGCCCAGATCCAGGCGGCCGCAGAGGAGGAGGGCGACACCCCGCTCAAGAAGCGACTGGACGAATTCGGCGAGGCCCTGGCCCGCATCATCCTCTACGTCTGCGTCGCCGTCTGGCTCATCAACTACCGCCACTTCATCTCCTGGAAGACGCTGCCCGGGTCGGCCTTCCTCCCCGACCCCGCCTCCGTGGAGTTCTCCCTGGCCAAGGCCACCTTCTACTTCAAGGTGGCCGTGGCCCTGGCGGTGGCCGCCATCCCCGAGGGCCTCCCCGCCGTCATTACCACCTGCCTGGCCCTGGGCACGCGCAAGATGGCGCGGCGCAACGCCATCGTGCGCAAGCTGCCCTCGGTGGAGACGCTGGGCTGCACCACCGTCATCTGCTCCGACAAGACGGGCACGCTGACCACCAATCAGATGGCGGTGTCCCACGTCGTCACCCTGGCCGGCGCCGGCGGGGAGCTCAGGACGCTGGACGTCACGGGGACCAGCTACAACCCCGCCGACGGCGAGGTGCGGGGTCTGGGCGCCGCCGCCAGCGGCGCGAGCCTGGACGCCGGCCTGGCCGCGCTGGCGGCCACCGCGGCGCTGTGCAACGGCGCGCGCATCGCGACCAAGCACGGACACGCGGTGGCGGTGGGCCAGTCCACGGAGGCGGCGCTCCTGGTGCTGGCCGAGAAGCTGGGCGCGCCGGACGCGTCGGAGCGCGACGACGCCGCCGCGCGGGCCCCGCTGCCGGAGGATGGCGAGGTGGAGCTCAGAGCCTGCGAGGCCTACGCCGCCAGGTGCGCGAATGCCGTGCTCGTCGCTGCACAGCCGGGGGGTGTTGCGTGGCGCTGGAGGCTTCGGTTGAGGGACCGCTGGGGGGGCGAAGGGGGGGTCCCTGCAAAGTGCGTGCGGTGACCAGCGGGCCTGCTGGCCTGCCGGGCCGGGCAGGTGTGCCTGCTGCAGGTCTCCTGCAATGGGCATGGCATGAGAGGGGGCGCCCATCGTCCAACTCTGTTCACAGCGCTGGCACCCCCCTGATTGCCGATACCCCCACCCAACGGAACCCCCCCTCCCAGGTTCCGGACGCTGGCGACGCTGGAGTTCGACCGCGACCGCAAGTCCATGAGCGTGGTGTGCGCGCCCACCAGCCCCGACGCCTGGCCGCCTGCGGGCGCGCGCGCCGACGGCGGCGTGCGCCGCAGCTCGCGCCTGTCCCGGCGCGGCGGCGGCGACGGCGGCGGTGGTGTCGCGGATTCCGGCGCCCCCCGCCCGCCCAACGTGCTGCTGGTGAAGGGCGCGGCGGAGTGCGTGCTGGCGCGCTGCACCCACGCGCTGCTGCCCGACGGCGGTGTGGTGGCGCTGGAGCCCGCCGCGCGCGCCGCGCTGGGCGAGGTGGTTTCCTCGCTGGCACGGCGCGCGCTGCGCCTGCTGGCCCTGGCCGCGCGCCCCGACCTCCCCGCGCCGCTGGCCGGGTACGACGGCGGCGAGGCGCACGCCGCGCACGCCGCGCTGGCCGACCCGGGGTCGTACGAGGCGCTGGAGTCGGGGCTGACCTTCCTGGGGCTGGCCGCGCTGCGCGACCCGCCGCGGCCGGAGGTGCGCGGCGCCATCGGGGCCTGCCGCGGCGCGGGCATCCGCGTGATCGTCATCACGGGGGACAACAAGGCCACGGCGGAGACCATCTGCGCCGACATCGGCGTGCTGGGCGGCGCGGGGGACGAGGAGGATGGGAGCGACGACGGCGCGTCCCTGCCGCGCAGCCTGACCGGCACCGAGTTCTGCGCGCTGAGCGAGGCTGACAAGGCGCGCGTGCTGGCCCGCCCCGGCGGCCTCTGCATCTCCCGCGCCGAGCCGGGGCACAAGCAGGACGTGGTGCGCCGCCTGCGCAACGCGGGCGAGGTGACGGCCATGACGGGGGACGGCGTGAACGACGCGCCGGCCTTGAAGCTGGCCGACATCGGCATCGCCATGGGCGTGACGGGGACGGAGGTGGCCAAGGAGGCGGCCGACATGGTGCTGGCCGACGACAACTTTGCCACCGTGGTGGCCGCGGTGGAGGAGGGACGCGCCATCTTCAACAACATGAAGGCCTTCATCCGCTACATGATCTCCTCCAACATCGGGGAGGTGGCCTCCATCTTCCTCTCCGCCGCACTGGGGCTGCCGGAGGGGCTCATCCCCGTCCAGCTGCTCTGGGTCAACCTGGTGACAGACGGACCGCCGGCCACCGCGCTAGGGTTCAACCCCCCGGACCCGGACATCATGAGCAAGCCGCCGCGCCGCGGCAGCGACCACTTCCTCACCCCCTGGCTCCTGTTCCGATGGGTGGTGAGCTGGGGCGCGTCGTGGGTGTGTTTGTAGAGAAGGGGTGGGGGGTGGGGGGTGGAAGGGGGCTCAGAGAGGGCGTGGCCGCGGTGGTGAACGCATCGCATCGCCCGTACTTCCCCTCCCTCCCCAGCACCCCTCTCCAAGCACCCATCCCTCGCGCACAATTTGCAACCACCCCTTCCCGACTCTTTACACCGGAAACTGACACCCCCGCCCCCCCGTCAGGTGGTGGGCTGCTATGTGGGCTTTGCCACGGTGGGCGCCTTTGCCACGTGGTACACCTCCACCACCTTCCTGGGCTTCATCGACCTGTCGCGCGACGGGCACACCCCCGTCACCCTGGCCCAGCTGCGCGACTGGGAGTCCTGCCCCTCCTGGCCCGGCTTCACCGCGGCCAACTACACTGCCGGTGCGCGCGCGGTGGAGTTCGCCGACCCCTGCGATTACTTCACCACCGGCAAGGCCAAGGCCTCCACCTTGTCCCTGTCCGTGCTGGTGGCCATCGAGATGTTCAATGCCGCCAACGCGCTGTCGGAGGACAACTCGCTCGTCACTGTGCCCGTGTGGTGGAACCCCTGGCTCCTCCTGGCCATGGCCGTCTCCTTCGGCCTCCACTTCCTCATCCTCTATGTCCCGGTGCTGGCAGACGTCTTCTCCATCGTCCCGCTCTCCTTCCAGGAATGGCTCCTGGTGCTGGCCTACTCCCTCCCCGTCGTCCTCATCGACGAGGTGCTCAAGGCGGTGGGCAGGACCTGGGTCAACAAGTCCACCGCTGCAGCCGACAGGGCCGCCGGCAAGGCCAAGCTCGAATAGTGGGACTGAGGGATGCAGGCCGCCACCAGGACAGGATGGATTCTGGGGTCGGGGTCTGATGACCTTGGTACCCTGCTCAAATCCTGGCCCCTTCCCATGCACTCCCGCCTGGGCCCCAGCACATGCTCACACTGCATGCACCCGCGCCCTGCCCGCTCTCGTGACGGTTGCTCTGTGCGCACTTTTGATGAACATCGTCAGGCGCGGCTGTGGAGGGGGGGTAGACAGGGGGAGCAGCAGGGACATTGCTTGCTTGTGGCACGGAAAATGTTCGAGTGGGTAGCGGGGAAAGGTGCAGCGCAAGGCGAGGCAAACAGGATTGGGGCTCTTCGTTCTCGAGGGCAGGCACAGGCCGGCTATTGCGTGGGGGGGGTGGAGGAGCGAGACCCGCCAGCGC